TGAGTGTGTGTGTGTTTGTGCCGTAGCACTGAAAGAATTTTTTGTGAAGTTGTTTTTTAAATCATATTTGATTTCATGCATAATTAGCTCGGCCATCAGCAGCCGCCGGGCCGCACGCTGGGTGTTTACACACACACGCACACACACATGCACACACGCACAAACACAAAAACACAGATCCAGTACAGGCCAGGTCAGGAAGGGTAGACACATATTATAAAAGAAATCACAAAATTTTTACCTCTAGCAACTAAAGTATGCTGCTTACCTGTGTGTGTGTGTGTGTGTGTGTGTGTCCTTGCGTGCACGTGTGAGGAGCCTGCAGGCAGCTTCCAATTTGCCGATAGAGTGAGACAGAGGAAGAAAAAGAGAGCAAGAGGAGTCTTCTTTGCTTTGCTGGAGACTCACTTGCAGTCGGATTAAAAACTTAATTATGTTTTAAAATGATATTTTAATTAAATATGGAGGGAAGCAGAAATGGATTGGCACCAAAATAATTAATCAAACATCAAAAAAAAAAAAAAAAAACACTGAGCGGCGTCTTTCTGCTTCGGCCAGCAGAAAATAAAGTCAGCGGGCATGTTAGCTCGGCTGAACATTCATTTAATGCTCCCTCTCTGTGTTTTCTTTTCTCCTCTCTGCCCTACACACAACACCAAATGATTCCCATTCCCACAATGCATTTGTGATGATGACTACATGTAATTAATTATCAGCTTGCTTATTAATGATTCTTTGGGATCTCCTACATGTAGTTTCTAACATCAGGATACTTGCTAATGACACATTTACATCCATATAATGTTCAACTGAAGTGACAGTAAACACAAGTGGCAGGTTCTACTTCAGCTAGATACCTAAAGCATTAATTGATAGACATTTTATCACCTTATAAAGTTGTATTGGCTAATTTGTTAGAAATCACTTGCAATATTATCATTCATTTAGAGTCCTGTTGGGTTCCGATATTTACTGCTCTTTTTCCTCCCGTTTGGTCTCCACCAACTCCTGAGAAAAATATCTGTCTCTTTAGATGCTAAATGTTCCACTTTCTTCGTCAGCTAGTTTCTAACTGTGTGTGTCTGCTGTTTGGGGCTGAGCGGGCAGTAAAAGACAGTAAAAGTGCTGTAAAACCAAAACTAGGAGCTAAAAGACACTAAAAAGCTGAGAGTTGGTGAGAATCTGCTGATATTAAAAGATCAGTGTTTCCCCCGAGGAAGAGGAGGAGAACCTCTTTGATGTGACAATATCTCACAGCAGCTAATGAGGAGGCGGATGAGGTTTTATTGTGGCATCCTCATTCAGAGGTGGTGATTGCTGTGTTTCCTCTGATGAGCGGACAGACTGTTAACACAGATATCAACTGTTTACTCGTTTATTCCTCAGGGCAAATCTTTTCTAATTTGGTCCTAATTTGCATGAAGAAAGAGAGATAATGATGTGAAAAAACGAAACACTTGTATTAAAATGCAGGCTCTTTTTTAACTGAGAAAAAGGTCTGAAACCTTCAACTTCCTCCTTTCCTGTACTTAGATATGCTATGCTAGGCTAATCTATGTTAATAAAACAACTTGTTTTACAAATTGTCAAAAGATAATATACATCTTAAATTGAAAACACTGTTTAACTAGCAAGCTATTCCACATCAATCCCTAGCAAGTTCATTCTGTTTTTAGCTGTTAAATTTGTGTTTGTAATTTGTGTGAACTTTTCCTAAATTGCAGCCATTAAAGGGACTGATTGTTTCCCCTGTGGCTGCTCTTTAACCACTGCAGAAGAAGAAGTGTTTAGCAGTGTATTGGCAGTGTGTTAACCACCATCATGATTCAATCAGAGCAGGTTGGAGGACACTCGCTGGGCGTTTGGACTCGTTTCCTCCTGAAGGCTTCAGATCTTTGAAACAAACAGACGCCAGCAGAGAATTATGTCACTTTGCTCCTTCATCAGCTGTCATGCCGATAATGAACCTGAGCAGCTTCCAGACAGTTCATCTCCAGATGGCTGATAATAACAGAGAGAGCGGAGGGAGGAAGAGGGGAAAGCCTGAGGATCAGCTGTGTTTTCACTCGTATTATTGCTGTCGGTGAAGTAAACAGATGATGTGTGAGAGGATAAAGGCTCGATTTAACATTGGAAATAATTATCTGACTGAATTTGAATTTTAAAAAGGAAAATTCAGATTTTTATCTTGGATTTCTCCTTAAATTAAAGTCAAACTGCAGTTTTTATGTCTGCAGTGAGTCTTTCTACCTCTTCTTCACTACACTGTAAAACTATTACTTTATTTCACTTTTTTCTGTATTTTTTAAAAACATGGAAATATTAATACAATTACAGAAATAGCCTGTGAATTTACATGTCTCATGTAAAATAATGTGTCATAATGTGATTCGAGAAAATGTCCTTTTTTCACATTAAAAGAAGTACATTTGTAAATCTATATTTTTTTCCCCAGATATTAACTGTTTATTTAATAGATTAAACTGTTCAAATTGTATAATTTTTAAAATTCAGATTAAAATTAAAGCTGCATGCAGCGATAATCGGGTCCTTGCACTTGGAGTGTCTGGGTGCGCTGCGGCCGCGTCATGCGCCAGTGTGATTTTAACTCAATATTAAACACAGAGCTTGATCGCTCCTCTACCTCATCATCGCATAAACCATCCCACTCCTCATCTTGTGGACTGACGGATATTTGGAGGCACGACAACAATTTTCTGATCTATAACTCACTTACGCCCAGAGCATTAGAATCCGTCACATCACATATTTTAAAAAAAGAAATGGGCATTCTTTCTACAAACCAACAACACCCTTGACACAACCACAAGCACTCTCTGGGAGAAGTAGTCCTAAGAGGTAAAATAATAGCATATTTCACAAACAAAATACCTAATAGAATTTTATAAACAATTCTGGTCATCTCTTGCACTCTTATTTTACAATATGATCCCAGAAATTCTCTTTAGTTTCAAAATTCCCTACCATATGAAGACTGCCTTAATTACACTACATACTGCTCCAACTACCACCCTTTAGGTTTAATAAACACCTATGTAAAAATGACTTGCAAAGCTTTGGCAATAAGACTGGAATATGTATTTTCATCACTTATAGACCCAGGTCAGACTGGGTTTTATCAAAGGGAGACATTCCTCAGAAAACAGATAATGCAACATAATTCATCTATATAAAACCAGAACAGACACAAAGATTAAAAAGCCTGCCATAATTCTAACTTTAGATGCCGAAAAGGCGTTTGACAGGGTAAGGTGGCCCTTTCTCTTCACCTCCTTAAACCACTTTGGCTTCAGCCCCTACTTCTCTAGTTGGATTAAAATTCTATATAACTCAGAAAAGCGCTTTTTAAATAAAATGTATTATCATTATTATTATTATAATACACCCTCAGCATCTGTAGAAACCAATCAACAGAGGCACTAGACAAGGATGCCCATAGAACCACTCGCATCAGTCCTAAAACAGAATGACAGCATTTTAGGGATTAAAACCAAATCACACCACCATTACATCAGCCTATTTGCCGATGAAATCTTGTTATATATAACAAATCTCTCAACCTCTCTCAGTCAGTCCACAATCTGATTGATAACTTCAGCAAGGTTTCTGGTTAGACACATTTAAACAAAACTTTACCCCGTTACTACACAGCATCAGAGAAGACCTGGTTAGATGGAACAATCTCCCACTCTCTTTAATTGGCCATATTTTCAGTGTGAAAATGAAAATTCTACCAAAAACAATTTTATTTATTATATTATATATTATTTTAATAATTATTTGCCATGACTCCTCTTAATCCTCCCCTGGGCTTGTTCTCCTCTCTAAATTCAGCAATTTTACTGTAGAGGCAAAAGGCCCAGGATCAAATTAACCACACTCTAAAAACCGAAACAATATGGTGGACTCGATGTACCAAATTTTTACCACTACTTCCTCTTCAGCATATTCGACACTGGACAAATAATCTCAATTCTGCTTGGCTCAATAATGAACAGTCCATCTGTAAGGATCTCCCCATTCAGCATATTGCATTTATAGACAAATCAATCAAGACTCATAACTACTTCAAATTTGACACTTAAATGGTAAATGGCCTTTCTACTCCTCCGACCACTCAAAGCACTTTTACACTACATGCCACATTCGCCCTTTCACACACATTCACACACTGATGACACAGCAGGGAGCAATTTGGGGTTCAGTATCTTCCGATTAGTGGACGACCCGCTCTACCTCGGAGCCACAGCCGACAAATGAATGAACTCTCTATTGCTGCAAATGCACGGACCTCAGCCAAATGATCTTGTTGTTGAGTCCCCAAAGCTGTCACGGCTGACATACAATGGTTTGAGATGGTGAATCCACTGAGTTTCCACAAGGAACACCCGTGAGCCAATGAGTGTTTTTTCCACGGCTGCGGGGTTGAGCGAAAAAAATTCTCAGTTTGTAATGGGTGCTTGACTTTACACAAGACTTTATAGTTCAAACCAACTTTGTCATCTTACAGTGTAAGTAAGTAGTAGACACCACACATCACAAACAATATGAAAGAAGTCACTATAATACACAAAATGACATTTGTGCTTGCAGCAAATACTGGTACATGATATATAAACACATTGAATAATAAGAGAAACCAGTATTAAGATGTCTTTCTTCTGGATTTACCTCATTAGGGCAGGAATAAATTGAGAGTAAGTGTGCTCAGTTTCTCATCTATGTGTTGATAATTGAACTAAGATCATTCTAGCTTGATCTCCAGGGGGAGCCACTTCTTGCATTGTAATGTTTTGTACTAACAACTTGACCACTAGAGGGAATCTGCGGATATGACTCCAGGAGGCTTTTTTGTACGTCTGAACATGATCTGATGTGCACCACTTTTGATACTCATAGGTTAAACATGCCGTTGAGGCTGCTCGATAGGAGCGCTGTCGAGCCATGTTTCCATCAGTGCAGTTGCCATGGCGACCTACCTCCATCCACTGTCCGTGGGACTGCATCTTGAGGATGACGCAGGGGTCAGGTTTGGAAAGAGCGTCTCGGTCCGAGATCCCTTTGCAGGTGAGCATCAGCTCCACCTTGGTGAGGCAGGGACTGCTGAACAACCCCAGAGAGTTGGCCGCTGACTCGTAGATGTCACTCATTGTGGGGGGGCGGGACAGGAAGTCTGCAGAGGTCAGAGGTCAAAGAACAATGAGTCTGTCAGTCATTTACGGTGGGATTATTGCAGCCTAAAATGTCTGATTTCACGACATCTTTTGGAAAAAAAGGGCTTTTTTTACTACTGTCTAAAAAAGCGAAACCCTGTTAACTTAAATGAAGTATTTAAAATGTGTTTATTGTTTAACTGATGATGAAGTTGTGTTATAATCAAACGTATTTCTCTTCAAAATGGCTGCTTTACCTGTTCAAGAACATGTGAGGTGATACAGAAACAGCAGTAATGTTCAGGAACTTTCATTTATTTATGCAGAAATGTGCTCTTCTGACTGTGAACTGTGTCGACATGGTTATAAGTGGATCCCCAGAAATAAAGTTTGGGAAACTCTGTGTTACAGGATATTATAGATCCAAGATCAAACTGACAGAAAAATGCAATTACAATCCATCTGGTACTGCAGACATCGGCATGGAGTCCAGTTTCTGATGCTCGGAGGCTGTAAAAACAATCTGTACGTTTATTTTACAGATTTCTGTATTTCTGATTCCATGGAAATATTAATACAGTTACAGAAATAGCCTGTGGATTTACATGTCTAATGTTAAATAATGTGAAAAATCTATAAATCGTAAAATTACTGCTTATTTAAAAATAATTTCCTTTTTTTAACATAAAACCATCAAAATACATTTAGCAAATCTATAATTCTTTCACTTTACTGTTTATTTAATAGATTAGTTAAATAGACTGTTAAATTCAAGTTAATGCTGTTAATACATTTCTAAAATTAGTGACAATTAACAGTAAAAATAAATGTGTCCTGTAATGGATGTATGGATTTGTTTGTTAATTGACCGAAAGGTTTTCACAACAAAACCGTTGAATAAATGTTGTTTCTCAGTGTATAAGCATTGGCAAACTGTCAAAATATAGTTTTTATCAGTGATGTTTTATAGATATTTTTACAAATCAGTTATTTTCTGTTCTTTTACTCTTTTAGTGCTCCAGCTGCTGGATTATTACAGTTTTTTCAGTTTTTTACAGTGTAACCTTGGACAGACCTCAGTCTGATAGAGGATCAGTGAGTCCAAACAACCCCACTGCCCCTCATTGTCTGAGGCAGGGTGACTCGTCATAATGTCCTGCTGAAGGAGGGATGAATGTGAGGTTCAATAAAACCCTTTGCAGCCTCTCTGACAGATTATATCTGATTTACATTTTATAATTGCACAGAAATGTTTCCTGTCCGTATCAGAATGGATGCAACCAACAGCCAAACGATGAACGAGTGTTAATTCAATTAGAATAACAGATTATTTCGACCCAGTGTCACTTCATTCATTACATCCTTTTATTGCATGCAACATCTGATTATGTTCGGAATAATTACCACATTATGTTCTTAACTATGTTCATTTGATTCTTTCATTCTGGGTTTATCTCATTTATACACACACACGTCTCACATTGTCCATAATGGCCGACCAGCCAAACGGCCAAATACGAATGAATATTCGCCTCGTGTCACTCACTTCACACTCTGAGAACATTAAACACCATGAAGAATACCTGAAAATACCTCAAAATGACCTCCTGTCACTGTTGGACAGAAACTGGAGGACAGGAGACTCGTATAAGACAGATGAGATAAAAACAGTTAAACATTGGTTTTAAATTAAAGATCTCAGTGTTTTTTCCATTTTTCTCATTTAGGATGTAAAACGTACATTTTCGAAGATAATTTGCTCCACAGCAGCTGAAACTTGACGTTTTCTTCTTGAGCTACAAACATTTCAGTGACTGAGCTCAGATTTGATCCTGATCACACAGCAGCAGATAACCTCCTACACCCTCACAGGAACCCATTTCTGCTGGCTCAGGAAGAAGCCCTCGTACCTCCCCCTCCACCACCACCAATCACTTCATCGCCTCCCTCCATTATCCCATCAGCAGCACTCCAGCTCATCTGATTAACCCCCGGCAGAGCGAGGCTGCGGCATCCGGCTCCCGCTGACCGGCCATCAGTAATGTTCTCCAGAGCAGGAAGTTACAGATATCGGCCAGTAAAGATATCCTCCGCACCACCGGCTCCGATTACACGAGATGTAAAGAGGAAGAAGTCTATAAACGGACCTCAGTTCAGTTCTTTAACTGTGGAAGGTTAGATATCACCGGAAGGTCACGAATACAGCGGATCTCTGCTCAAAGGCAATAAAAGTACAAAACTGCTCGCAACATATAGAGTTCATACTGGTGAGATCAATATCATTGATTACCTTCCACTTGTACTAAAATCTTTTCTCAGAGTGTTTAGAGGCTGAGACTGAACGCATGAGCTAAAATAAACTCAATTTATCCATAATTTACCAAATTATCTGTAAATGTATTTTACAGATTGTTTCTGTATTTTAAAATAGATAAAATATTAATAAAATAACAAAAAATATTCTGTGAATTTACACCAAAGCTCTGTAACTGTAAATAATCATAAAATTACTGCTTAAAATGACTTACATAAAAAGATTAAAATACATTTGCAAATCTATACAAATATTATATATAATATATTTACTGTTTATTTAATAGATTAAACCTTAAAATTCAAGTTTGTGACAATTAGCAGTAAAAAGTATTAGTTGTGTAACTTTAATGGATTAGTTATTAAATTCATACATATCTTTGTATAATTATGGAAGTTGTAATAAATGTTGTTGGTATCAGTGTATAAGCATTGGTAAACTGTCCAAATACAGTCTTTTATTGTGTAAACAGCAATAATTTACTGTAATTTACAGATAATGACTTTTTATTACATTCATAAACAACATTCCATTAAAATAATACAATCCAATAGACCAGCACTCTGCTGTAAATGTAAGTGATTAATGATTATAGTTCACCTGTATTTATAGGTAATTGTTTTACACTGTAAATATCTTTAATCATACATTAAAAAGACAAAAAAATCCACAAGATTTTATAAAAGCCAAAAAATATTTTAATCATGTAAAATTAATGTATTTCTACGAGTGAAACAATAATCAGCTAAAATAAACTCAGTTTATCTGTAATTTACCATTCACAGAGAGAGCACTTCGTTTGTCCATTCATTTTATTTGAAAAACACTTTATTTTGAAAACCCTTAATTAACTCATTGTAAATGATTTCTTTGTATATTTACACGAAGTTATTGGCAGCGAGTTGCTGTATTTTGATTTACAATAAACTACTGTACCTGTACTGTAATCCAGTTTACAGTATATAAAACTGTATCACTATAAAACAGTATTTTACTGTATTTTTACTAGTATTTTGTAATTTGGCCTATTTGTGCTATATTTTATTTATACTGTAGTGTAATATATACAGTTATATTAATATTGATATATTACTGCTAATTGAAATAACTATAATATATTTTTATTTTATTATTTATTACTAATAAAAGCACTGAGAATGTTCAGACACTGAGAGTTTGAACACGAATGGTTTCCGACAGTAACTCCTTACTCTGGGAACGGCAGAACTTTAATAAATTAAAGTTACAAGACAAACTACTCTTCTGTTGTCAGCGTGAGTTCACATGAACTTAGATAACCGAGTTACAGTCGACTCTCCGCAGTAATCTGATGGTTTAAACCTGGTTTCTTATCTCAGCGTGTCCTCGTAGAAAGGTCAGACAAACGGGAGAGAGCAGACAGCTCAGGTCTGAATCTGATTATATGTTCAGATCCTCATTAAATACACTTTACTGTTTTTCCTGCAGTGATGAGCTCATTTTGGTCCTTTAAACTTAGCTATCGTCCCTGTGTGTTGTACAACTGATAGAGGGTGTCTACCTGCCAGCAACGTGAATGAAATGTTGAGTTTTATGTTAGAAATGTACAGTATGCAAGTCAGACACTTCCCTGTGCTCATCAAACCGTTGCACGACTTCATTTCCTTCAGATCCAACTGGGGAAGCCTGGACCAGTGACTATGACCGAACGGAGAACTTATAGAAAATAGGACCCGAATGTGAGACAGGCAGAGGCAGGATGTAAGTATGGAGAACCAGAAGTACAATAATGATAAGCAAACAGATCCAAATGCAAAAAACAGGCATTAATCCACAAAAAACGGAGTTCGACACACTCGTGGAACAAAGACGAACTGCAGCAGTGAGACACAGCCAGGGCGCAGTGAGACAGGGCGCA